AGGTTCCCGCGCGGCCCATCCAGGCCGCCGTGTATTCCGGCACTCATGGAACTGGAGCGGCTGTGTGGAATACGATCCACCGCCAGCGCCGCCGTCTGCCGGTGCCTGGGGCTTGTCTCAAATTACAGCCGGGCGGGAGACGGTGTCGGTGCGTCTCGACGGCGCGGCGGTAGATAGTCGGGGTGGGGGTGGGCACTGGGGAGTAGCGGCTGCCTGGGTGGGGACTGGGGGTGGGCTCGGTAGCCGAGAGGGAGGGGAGAAAACTCCGGCGCTCGCCGGTCGGTATCGTCTGCTGGTGGTGTCGTATGTCGCCCTCGGTGTGCGGTGCTATGATAGCTCGTCGCCTTCTGTCGGCCGTTCTCTCTGTGAACACCGCCGGTCGGAGTCGACGGCTCGCTGGTGGCAGTTGCACGTAGCTGGAGTGGAAACAGAAAGCCAGGGCGCGGCCTGTGCAACCCACAGCCACTGGAGCGGCGACACCCACACGGCCCGGCTGTCAGGAGTCACTGACAGTCCGGGATGTCAGAAGGCATTGTCTGTCAGTCATGGCTGTGGCCGTCGGGTACCATGTGCATAGTCAGTGGCATTCATCAGCCAAGTCTGCTGCTGTCGTAAGGGCCAGTTCATGGCGCCGCATTGCTAAATGCGGGACATAACTTCAGGTAGCCAACTACAAGAGATAACTTTGTATTGCCAAATGCAGGACGTGGCTCGGCGCTAATCCGCCGACCTCACAACGTGCGGTCTAATCGAACAATGCATAACTCAATCTCTCCGTGTGTGCATTGTGCATTTGCAGCTCTCTGTAGATAGAGTTATTGCTGTTTAAGTGGCAGGTATAGTGACGATTGTACTGCTCCGTGGTCAGTGGTCAGTGGTCTCCACTATCTTCCATCCACCGTTTGATACTTCTGCCACGGTCTGAGTCTGTTGATGGAACGCTCACTGAGTCATTGCCAACCATGAGCTCATTACTGCAGTTCGACTTTTGTGGCATGAAGACGGCCGTGAGTGTCTCCTGATTCTCACCGTGAGCGTCTCCTGGTTCTCACCGTGAGCGCCTCCTGGCTCTCACCGTGAGCGTCTCCGATTCCCACCATGTCAGACCCAGTTATGGCGGCTTGGAGCCTGCAGACTACAAAAACTTGCGGGACATTGGGGGCGGATCGCGATCTGCCCACCTGTCGCTTAACCCCGCGTCCCTTCGCCATGTCCGAACACCTATCTACGTCAGAAGGAACGCGCTGTACCCGCGTTTGACCTTCGCGACCATATGGGTCGGACAAAAAAGGCAGGTAGAAGAGAACTCCGCTCTACCTGAGCCCCAGTATAACGACCGCCCCCTACCGTCTGTCTATGAACGGCGAAACTCAGTATAATGCTGGTTCGGACCCTCTCTGGATCAGGTACGGACCTAATTTGTCTCAGGTGAGCTCGACGCCATCGTGTCTTATTTTAGCCGGTACCGTGCGCCTCCCTCCGTTCTCTGGGGACCATGAGCACTCTGTGATTCCTGGACGGCAATGTCACGTCATCCAGGTATTGACAGGCGACAGTGCAAACTGGATGCTGAGCAGCGACGTCTGATTCTAAGGATGCGATTTATCGCAGAGGGCTGCCACTGAAATGGCTGCTGCATTAAGATTTGCTTCTAATGATATGTGAATTTGATGGCATCTGCAACTTTGTCTAGCATCATCCGAAAACTTTCCAATGAAAATGTGTAAATCACGGATCATTGCTAATCACATGGCTCAGTTCATCGCAGTTCCTTCCTGAAGTCCGGCCTCGGCCCGACGACTCTGAGATCAACCCGGAACTGAGGTTGGATGCCGCCCGGCGCACAATGGTCGAAGGCGCGCGGAATGTGCACTCATTAGGATGCGCGACTGGCGGCGAACAGAGGCACACACATTCCGCTGGGACGTCCGGTGACAGCGAGACACGCCTCGAGGAACGCCGCTGAGGCGCGCCTCTGAGACACACCTGAGACACCTGAGACACGCCTCTGAGACACACTTCAGACAGTGCTGTGGGGAACACCTTTGAAATGCACCTAAGAGACGAGGTTCTGGGGAACGGCTCTCAGACTTGCCTAGAGACACGGCTGTGAGGATTGCGTCTGATGAATGCAACCGGAACTCTTGACCAATCTCAAACGAAGCGATGTTCATTGGTCAAGGTTATAGTAATCGTGCTTTATAATTGCATCCGATAGGTATTTTAGATTGATAGTTGACTTCTGCCGCGTGTGTATCTGCTATATTTTACCTCTACCCGGTAACGGCTAGTCAATATTGGTGTCATACGTACCATAAATCACATCAGTTTGTCGGTGAACGTCCTTATCTATTCATCGATAGCTGAGGATGAAGACGTGGCCCAATGGTTTATTTATCCGTGGCATATGTGAATGTTTGATGGTAATGGTCTGAGACTGCCGACTTTTGTAACTGTGTTTGGAGCTTTCGGAGCGGTCGCCTCTCGGCGTTCATTTGACCGGGCGGAGCGATGCAAATTAAATGGCATCTCTACCCTGGGAGCGGCCGTATACCGTTTACCGGGTCATTTATTACCCATGGTAATGGTATGCAGGCCACCGGGGCTAGATGACCGGAGATGATCGCAGTTCCGAATTCCTTGTCCCGGGCTCAGTAGGTAATTGATTATGGGCCTCCCAACTGCGGAGACTGGAAACTCATTCAACGGCATGACCGTGCGCGACCCATTCTGTCATGCAACGTTGACGCACTCTCCCTTTAATGACCTCTCCTGAATGGAGGAGCCGGAGCGGCACGTGCCGACCCGTGACCGATGTCTCTGCGCGCGCCCTGTATTGGCGGTCACTGGACCGACCGGTGACGGTGGTGTCCCCGCCGCCTGAGCGGGGCTCGCCGCCGGCCGCGGTTATACGGGCCGCCGGGGCTGACAGAGAGCTGCAATTTCCTGGCCATGTATCACCGGCTCGGACCATAGAGCCGCCGCTGGACTACCTCCCTCCGCCGGCCGGCTCGCAGCGTGGCGTCAGAGCAGGCATGTGCCTCTTCTCCCGGAACCGTGCAGGGCGGACGCCGTCCGATGCCCGGCCTGTAGCGCAGCGCGTAGGCCGGCCGAACCCCACCGGGCTGCATTGAAATGCATTGGCGGGACCGGCGCGTTCAGAACAGATGGGGCCTTCTTTCAGACCGCGTCCAATTTGAACGGCTGGGCCGGCTGCCCTTCCGCATAGCACGGAACTGAAACAATAGCGGAAAAAAGTTATTGGTTATTCTTCAAAACCGACGCTACTTCGTGTCGGAATTTCCGGTGCTGCCTCGTAGTTTCATACTGCAATAATTCGATGCATGTCTCTTTCTATGTCCCTTTCGTTCTGGCCCGAAATAATTTATCGCCTGGCACAATTTGTTCTGCTGAAACCTCCTCTCTGTTTCCTTTTCATTTCCCCTTTTACCTCTCTCTTCTCTCGTTTCTCAGTTCCCTTTCCTTTCCACCTCCCGCGTGCATAACTACATACACCTCCCCTATCACGTCTCCACTCGGCTTCCCCTCTCGCCTCTCACCCTCTCGTCTCCTTTCTCACCTCCCCTCCCCTGTTCTCACCTCCGGCCGTCCAGCTCTCGTCACGATCGGGTGCGGTGACCGATAGGTTCGGCGACCACCAATCACTCCCCATTGGGGGACTCGCCGTCAGTCTCCCCGAGAGCAGGGAACTGAGCGCACACGTTGGGCGGAGTGCGTGTGCGTGGGAGGGGGAGGACTTAAGGCGAGATGTGGGGGAGGGGGGAATACTAATTCTGTTGTTGGCTGAATTCAGGTGGTAATTGCTTGACGAGTTTCTGGGTGATTTCTTCACGAATATTTCTCAAATATTGAGTGCCGTACCGTGTCGCTGATATATCCGCTGGCGGCGCCGCGCTCTGTGCAGTTTACAATGCGCATCCTCCGAAGGTGGTCGTACAGCGGTCGTGCCTTACCCCGACGCACCGAGCCGAACCGGACCGATGGCACGCGGTTGACCCACCTGGCCAACCGGCCCGCTCGCCGGCTTAACATGCCGGCCAGAGCCGCTGCGAGCAGGAGCAACGACCCGCGGCGGCGGCTGCGGCGTCTCGGCACCGCGCTGCAGTCCCCGCCTCCACCTGTGTCCGAGTCCGGTCAGCCGCGGACAGTCGACTACATCTGCTGCGTACTACACACACAACACACGCACCGCCGCCGGGCCGATAGGCGCGGTACACAGGTCTGTGCGCGGGCGGCCACCCCACCCTCGCGGCTCGCTCTCCAGACGTGGCTGATCAATGGGTGGCTGCGCGCGGAGAGGGGAGGGGTGCCAAGGAGGGAGGCTGCAGCCGCAGGACGGGCGACTCCAGGGAGCTGCACCGGGGAGGGCCGGTGACCGGCTCAGAGTCGCAACAGTATGGCACGGGACGCTGCGCCATGGAACGGTACGGTACGGTGCGGAATATATGTGTTTTGTGGCTGGGAACAGCACGACACAATGCATTTAGACATAGCAAGGGACGGCACGTCGCGGTACGGAACCTATCGCACGACACGGAATGACGAATGTCATGTCATGATCTGGAGAAGCGCATTGTGCTGCAATGAAGACGGACGTTGTGGCCAGGCCAGTAGTAGTTTCTGACGAAGGCCTTGGTGATGGAGGTCAACTGAGTGGCACCACAGGTATATTAGCTCCGACCTCATCGCGTGCGAAGGCCGCAGAGACGCCATATCGCTGACCGGCGCCACCTGAGATTCCAGCCCTCTCATGGCCCTCTCGGGACAGTGTGGGACGGACGCACGCGCCGCCGCCGGCGTGTCCAGCCAAGGTCGAGGCCGCCGCGCCGGCCGCGTCGATGGCCGTTGCGATAGCCGCGCGGCGCGGGGCTGGACGGGGAGGAGGCGGTAACCGGTCCGGCCGCCCGCCGCCGCCGCTGCGCTGCAGCCGCCAGTGACACGCCGCCGCCACACCGGCTCCAGTCTTGGCCGGTGCGGCCCGGCGGTCAGTCCGGTGGCCAGCGACTGCAGGGCGGACTGCTCTATCAGTGACAGCCAGTGATTCCGAGCGAGATGACAGTGCGGTGACGCGCGGCGGCGGTGATGGCGCGCCGGTGACGATGGCGGCGCCGGTCGGTCGGCAGCCGCGCGGCCGGCGGCGCCCGGTCAGCGTCGACCTGGGCCTGGCCGGCCTGCTCAACCGCTACCTGAGGCCGCGCTCGGCCGAACGCCGGCGGCAGCGGCACTCGCTCAATGACGGCGTCGGGGGTGACCCCGGCCCGGGCCCGTCGGCTGCCGACACCGCCTTCGTTGCGGCTCCGATGGCGGGTCCGGCTCCGGCGCCGGGGCCGGGCGCCGCGCCGATGCCGGCCCCGGGCCCGAGCACGCTACCGATGACCGAGACGGCCTCACGGGAGCAGCGTCTGAAGAAGCGCCCCAACACGGAGGCCGAGCGGCCGCGGTCTCTATCCCAGCTGGGTCACCTATTACCGCAGCTCGGCAGTGTCCTCCCCAGCGTCATTGGAACACGCAGGTGAGCCGTACGACCTCGACGCCGCAGGTTCGCGGCAGAGACTCCTGCTGCGTAGGACGCCGGGTAGATTGGGTGAGCCAACCTCGGCGCCTTCAGGGAGCAAAACAGTCGCCGGTTGGCCTCCAAACGGATTACACGCACCAGCCCGTCGTATTACGCCGAGTGTGGTTTGGAATTGTGCTGAATATTTCACGCCTTCTCTATCCGGGTGTGCGGGTCGGAGTTCGCGGATGTTTGCTGTTGCAGCCATTGTCGGGAAGCCAGGCCCAGACCCGGATATTGACACAAGCAGTCCGCCCGCCCTGTCCAAAGTCCATCTCTGTCAGGATTTCACGCGCAGGCCACCCTCGCAGTGGCGACACACCCAAACATTCACCGGCCGCCCCCGACTCCTCTCGCCCCCCGGCTCTGTCAGCGGTGCGCCGCTCGGCACGGCGGGGTGGACGGCCGTGCAGCTCGGTGCCGGCCGGTCCCGGGGCGTGCCCCACTCGGCACAGACGTACCGGACCGCCGCGGCGCAGGCACCTGTTGCAGCGGCGAACGGCCGGCCTTCCCGGTCCGGCGTGCCTACGATGAGGAAATGCACGCCGGCGACGGGCGGGAAGGATTTGAAATACCTCCGATATGCAGGCCGTTGTGACAGCCCGCGACGCTACGACTAAGTGTGGGTTCGACTCTGGACGGGCTTCGGTTTTTGCGTAGTTCGAAGTGAAAGATGACGATGGACCGAGTGTTTTCTTGCTGTGGTCTCTGCGGTCCGGGGCCAACGTTTTTGTCGATCGGGAGAGTGCAGTTGGAGGCCACTCGGACTAAGGTAGTGGCTGTGAAAGTCATCATTCGCACTGCTCTGCTGACCATTGAAGTGATGTTCCGCTTCATGACACCAATCAGATAAAATCCGTCTGGGTCAGTTGGACTTCATCGGTTTTCTTTATGCCATTTTACCCTAGAAAGCTGAGGTGGTGAAAACCGACCATATGTGTCCTATCTCTGAATTCCTTGGCTTCAACAGCCGGTTGATCTGGACCGGGACCGACGCTTTCCTCGCGGTCGGCGAGTGTAAAGAACGTCTCTCGGCTGCGTCCGATGGTCGATCTCGGCCGGCCGTCCGCTCCATTTCTCCACCACAGAAGGATCCATCAGCGTCCCATCCACTCCGTGTTCCGCCCAAATCGCGGCGGCGAGGGCCGGGGCGCCGCTCGCCACCAACCCGCCGCCGCCGTCATCGCGGCTTTTAAACCTGTCTGTGATGAGATTCCGCCTATTAGCCGGCCGCCATCCATCTGAGTTTGACAGGCAAATGCCCGACCGGAATGTGGCGCGCCGGTGCGCCGCACCTGCCGCCGGCGGCGAGTGCGGCGCACTGGCGGTGTATACGGCGCATCTGCGGCGGGTATGGCGTTGATGACGGTTGATGTGGTGAGTGACGCCGCCGGCCGAAGCTAACGGAGCGGTCTCTCACATCTCGGGAGGTCCTCGGTCGTTCGTCCGCCCATCTTCTCATCCTCACACCACAGAGCTCCGAGCTGCCAGCCGCCAGGTGTACCTACCCGACAGACGGCCCCAGAGACGGACTGATCAGCGCCTGTCCATCGCTCTCCGATCCAGGTCCTTGGCTGGATTATCGGCAGCTCCGAGCGGTGTCCCCCCGGCGACAGAAGACGCTAGATATGCGATCGAACGGCCGCCGGGCAGGCTGCCGGGGTAGCTCCTGTAATGACTGCCGGGCGCGCTGAGCTGTCAGGCGTGACAGTCTGACCTGGGGCGCCCTGGCTGACCGCGGCTCACTGGCTCACAGTGCCAGTCTGCGGTAGCTCGCGCTGTGGATCTGCCGTGCCGACTGCCGACTCACTCTCCGGATGGCTGAGCACGGCGCCAGCTCAGTGAGCTCCGTCCGCTGACCCCGACCTCCGTCCGGTTCCGTCTCTCCATCTCTCTTCCACATTGTCTCCGAACCCCACCTCCCACTGACTGTCTTCTCTCATGCACTGTCTCTCACCCCTTTTCTCGTCATCTCATACCTACCCTTCTCTCACTCTTATTTCCTGTCTCTCTCAGCTCTCATCCATCCCTTTTCTTACCCTTTCCTATCCCGTCCTCCTTTTTCCATCATCCCTAATCCCATCTCTCATCCCTTTCCCTATCCCATCCCGTCCACTCCCGTTTCGCCATCCGCTCCGATAGTGACAGAGCTGCACCTCCTTCGCGGTTGGCCGGGTGATTGATCCAGCTGTGCCGGCCGGCGGTGCTTCCTCAGGGAGACGACAGGTGCGCCTTATTGCCGCCACCTGGGGAGACCGGGGTCTGATTCTGCCGATGGGCGAAACGGTGACCAAACCATCGAGATCTTATATACAATATATTATAGAGATCTTATATCTTCTATGGGCCAAACGCCATCTGGGGAGATGTGTCTGAATCTGCCCGCACACGAACTAGGCGGCCAAACACCATCTGGGAAGGGTAGCGTCTGATTCTGCCACCCGAAGATGCGTGCACTATGCGGCCAGCAGGGGTGGGGCCAGAGACCCTGCCGCTCGGAGGTACAGATTCTACCGAATATAACAGGTGCCTGTCGGACGGAAACATGGCCAGTTTCAGATCCTGCAAGACGAATACGGGCATAACAATCCCGCCGAATGGAGTCATGGATCCCGCATAGCGATCCGCCGAACGGGCTGCCTTTTGGATGGGGCCATGGATAGCTGAAAATTTCACACGACTGAGCCACACAGTCCTCTGGATGAGGCCACAGGTCTTCAGGACTAAGCCTCAGGTCATCTACGAAGGGAGCCTCATGGTCCCATAAAGCTTGACAGATTCCGGCTAAGGGGCCAATCAGTTTTGTTTATCGCACAACAACTCGACTGTGTTGAGTTATTGTATAATTTTATTGTGGGATTAAACGGCTTTGCAGCTGCGCTCGACAGCTGTGACATGGGAAAACGTCACAACGATTAGAGACAATATTTCTCAAGGGTGGGAAAATTGTGACTTTAGCTCACGACAAACAGCTGGTAACCGTCTTGAGGTTGACACTGAGTTATGTTTTTATTATGTCGGGCAATGAAATGAAATTTATAAGCAAATCTATTCAGCTGAAAGCGTCCCATTATTTATCCAATACCCATGCTGATGCATATCGCTGTGTATTTCTAAGATTCTCAAATGTCGGCAGATCTATTCAGTTGGATCTAGAATGCATTATGTTACCGACCACTGCAATTATGCCCTCTTCGTGTCGGCTCCACCCGTCTTAGCATTTTAGTTGCAATGCGTCGAAACAACAGCAGACCGTAATGGGTTATTAACTCTTATGAGCCATGTATTTCATGCGGAAGACGTTTGATATAAACCATCTATTACGTGCGATAAAGCGAGCTCCGTAACGACCATAATTCCCTGGGTATTTAGGATAAGGAGCTGTTGGCTTCCCCGTCGCCTCACGGTTCAATATCGGCTAAGACCTGTGCCTGCACGACACGCCCCTGGGACTTCAGTACGGCACGCTACCATCCGGGCCTCGGCCGGGACGGACGGTCTGCGTCTCTTCCTTTGACTCGACTCCTCTCGCCGCTTCGCCTGGGCAAGCTGCATCTTCCCTCTCTGTCCCTCTCGCCGCCTCACCTGAGCAAGCTGCATCTTCCCTTCACCTCCCTCTCACCGTTTCACCGGTGCCCAAGGGGCAGTGTTTGATTCGCGCCTATCCTCTGGGAGCAGCAGCTGTCGCAGTGTGCACTGGGCTAATTTGTCGGCAGTACTCGCCCTCGGGCTCGTCGGATCGGTGTCCGCCGTCGCCCGAGGCTAGGTCTGATGAGCTGGGATACGTGGAACGGTGTGCGCCGGTAGCAGACTGCTTGAAATCTGGAGGACAAGGCTGCTGAAAGCCGCGGGCGGTCACTGCAGGGCGCACACCGGCTGTACTTTCCGCCAGGCAGTCTGTTGAGTTTATGGCGACTGACTGTCTAAGCCGGCTAAGATCGAGACCGACGGCTGTAATTGGGGCGGACTTCTCACTGAGGCTAGAGCGGGGGCAGGCAACAGACTGGTTGGGCTGGAACTGGCACAGTCCGTCTGATGGGGAATAGGACCGAGACAGTCGAAATAATCAACTCATAGCGGCGACGCGGCTATGGAAGGTTAGGACCCTGCCAGGGCGCCACCGAACGTGACCGTGGCTAATCGCCCCGTCGACAGACGCAGGGCAGCCCCCGGAGGGGTGTCTGGGAGGGCGCGGGCCGCGGGACCGCCGGGCCGTCGACTGGAGTGGCACGAACGGCAGTCGTCGACGGCGACGGGCGGCGAAAGGGTCGTAGAGTGAGCGAGAAGTGAGCTAAGGAATCCGTGCGGAGCGCCAACGGCTACGAGGATTATCTGATCAGGCACTCCTTAACGCCGACATGGCCGCCGGCGAGTGGAGCGGAGAGCGAGCGAGAAGGGCGCCAGGGAAGCTGTGGGGAGTACCAACGGCTACAAGGATTCTATGGTCAGGCACACTAACGCCGGCACGGCAGGTGAGGCGTATCGAGCACGGCTCGGGGGTACGTACAGCGGAGTGCGGTTCCTTGGCGGCGACACCACGAGGATGGTTGCCCGGCGACTGACGCGGCGTCACCACGGGGATGGTTCCCCAGCGACTGACGTGCATCTATTCAGAGGCATACTAAGCGCACACGCAACCGTGAAGGAAACCGGGGAGCCTGGTAGGCACGCTTTGAAGGGTCGTGCAACGCAGCACCCCAACCTGCGACGCGATACACACAAAACACCTGGTTCCGGCCACTCTACAACTCATGCACACACACGTCAGGTCCGCCGCCGACCCCTCGGCTACTCTGCAACTGCAATGCGTCCGACGCCCCGGCTACTCCGCACTGCACATACATCAGGTCCGCTGCCGACGCCTCGGCTACTCTGCAACTCACGCACATACATATACATACTCATGGTTTTGTAAGGGCTATCCTACCCTATAAACGAGCCGACGTGAGTGGTTCCGG